GCCCCATGTCCTCAGTGTATGGTGCCCCCATTAACAAATTAAAGAATCTTTTATGTCCCCTCTTGTCAACGCAGCTCCTACTGGAAAAAAAATCTTGTTTCTGTGCTCGAGCAATGAATTACTTTTCTGATGGAGTTACCAGATCACAGAGGCAATTTAAGTTTTATGTGTAGCTTGAGCTGTTCTCGCTTCCTTTTGATGTTTCAGGTAAAAGGAAGAAGAGAGTTGTATCATTTTAACACTTTTTACATCTCTCTCTGAGGTAATTCTTAAGGTATTTGCAAGGTCAAAGTGATAAAAAACAGATATGGGAAACTATATTTCTCACTGGCCTACAAATGTAATATTGTTCGGTGCAATATTTTTTCACAACAGTACAGACTGTAACCAAGGCTACAAAGTAGTTTTCTTCATCCTCTCTGTGTTTCCATTTGCTTATAGTTCCCTACATTTGTTCTCTCCTCGAGCTTGTGCTGCCATCATCGTCATTCAGTGATGGGCTCAGGGAACCCTCTTTCCACCTGGAGGAAAAACTCCGACCGCATCTTTTTTTTTCATGAGGCCAGAGCCAGACTGAACTCTGGCTGCTGAACTCTGAAACCTGTGCAGCCCTGCAGTGAGGATTATACGCTTATCACAGCTAGGAAGGATTTAGCAGCATCAGGAGCACACAGAGATTATCTACTGGCCCCATGCAAAAAACTGATAATCTGTGGAAAAGTCGGTTTGCGAGGTTCCTGGCACAAACTCAAGAACCCAGGGCAAGCGCTGGGTTTGCTGGTGGCACCTGTGAAGTACATACGACCCACCCACCTTTATTTATATGAAACCTTTTGTCTTGCATTCTGCTGTCCATCCCCACTGTTGTTGCTAGTAGTGGAGATCCTGGATGCAGATTTGTGATTGATGCCGGTTTGCCAGCTACTCAGGAATCACAGTTGTAACCGCAGACCTGCTAACCAAACTGCTGCCTAGAAAATCCCAGAAGAGAAATGAGTATAGAAATAGCAAAATGGTAAAAAGAAGGCTTCGGGAAGACCTTACAGCAGCCTTCTAATGTTTGACGGGAGCCTACAGGAGAGCTGGCAAGGGACTCTTTGTCAGGAAGTGTAGTGATAGGACATGGGGTAATGGTTTTAAATTGAAAGAGGGGAGATTTAGATTTGATACTGGAAAGAAATTGTTTACTGTGAGGGTGGTGAGACACTGGAACAGGTTGCCCAGAGACGTTGTGGATGCCCCATCCCTGGAAGTGTTCAAGACCAGGCTGGATGGGGCTTTGAGCAACCTGCTCTAGCGGGAGGTGTCCCTGCCCATGGCAGGGGGGGTTGTAACTTGGTGGTCTTTAAAGTCCCTTCCAACTCTAACCATTCCGTGATTCTAAGTTGTCTGACACAGCTGTTGTGCCTTTCCCTCTTGAAAAGCCAAGTTTTGTGTCCTTGAAGTATATCTGCATCAATGATGAAATTAAGGAAATGCAGAGAGAGCAAAAAACCCACCTCTCTACAACATTAAGAAACACTTATTTCTGTACTTCAGTCCATGTACTTGTTTTCCTCCTTTTTTCAAGCCTTTTTTTTGAAGCCAAAACATCTATGATAGGAAATTATCTTTTGCACTGGGCTGATACTGAAGCCACAGAATTAAAATAACAGCTAAAATCATCCATTGAAATCTGTGAGCTTTAGCTTAGACCACCAGCTGGGGTAACCTCATTGTTTACACATTCCCTATGTTTACATTCACAGATACCGTATCATGGCAGTACTACCTTATTATCTACGTAAATTATCAAATTCAAAGGCTGACTATCGCAAATGGTGCTTTTTCTTCTTTGGACAGCAAGAACTAAGCATTTTCTGCCTGGGGATCTATCTATCTATTTATTTATTTATTTGTATCTGCCAGTTCTTGGTAAGAAGCTGCAAAGACTATATAGGAAGGCGTTTCGTTTGGGAGGAGAAATATTTGATTAATAGGGTCCCAGGCGTCTCTTTTCCTATTCCCCCAGGCCAAATTTGTGCCTCACAGTCTACAGGAGAGAAGCTGAGACAACAAGTCTCTAGCATTTCTTGCTGCGGTTGCCACTGGGAAAATAGTCTTCCTTTTCCTGTCAGCTTATGTGTATATTCTTAACAGCTATTAACGAATATGCCCCGAAAGGCAAATATGGCTGTAATTAGCAACCCCCTCTAGTCATGACGAGGCTTGCAGCGTGTTGCACACCTGATCCACAAAGACACAGGTCTGTGTTTTACACCTCCTCTCCGGAGACACCCACACGGCCTAAGCAGAATCACAAGTCGGGATCTGTGGAGACGGGAGCTGCCGGAGATCCCAAATTGCTCAGGAGCCATCGTGTGGTCCCTGGCAAAAATCCACCTCTAGCTCCTTTCCACTCACCATTGCCTGCCGTCCCGCCGGAGAGAGTCATTTGCTTCAGTCAAAGCCTGGCAGAATACGAAGGAAAGGTGCCGCATCTGTTAGCTCATTAAGAACTAATTGCTTTTAATGATTAGGGGGCCATAATAACCGGTCACTCTTTTTCCTGCTTCTTGCCAGAGGCAGGCTCACTGTCCAAGCTTTGTATGTCTTCAGAGATGTCAGCTAGAAAAAAAAAGTGATCTTAGCACTAGAACACTCCTTTTTGTGTGGATGGGATTATTGAGTGACAGATAATATGTCATGGGTCTAAATTAACATGCCTGCAAATTGTCAACAAGCCCAAGAGCAGCCTGGTATGTCTTGGTAAATACTGTCAGGTATCATCCCGGCTGAGGAGCTTCCTATGGCCCTACTGCCAGAAACCTCCTGCATCTGCCTTCTCCCACTCCTGCATTACAAAAATGAACATAGTGGTTTTTAACTCCAAAGGATGTTAAAAAAAAGAACAACAAAAAACAACAACAAAATGAAACAAAACAAAAAACAGAGAATAGCACTGCCAGTTTATGGCAGTGTGCTTGGATAAGGGGACGAATAATTAAACTTAACTTTTTGGTATTCAAATTTGGGGGGAAAGCCTCCCCTAGAGTTCTAATAAGCACTTTCAACTCTTTTTTTCCAGTCAAAAAGTACTTCGCATATGCTTGACATATTGCTGAGTATAATGATGGAATGCAAGGGGGGAAAAATCTATGTTTACATACAAAACATACCCCCACATGCATATTTATATTGAGAGACAGAAAAATATTTTATGTATGTATGTATAACTTGACACTTTCAACATTTTATGTAAATAAATGCCAAATGGATGGAGAAGATCATATTGTACACTAATGGGCTACACTTCTTCATTTCCATTTTTCAAATCTGGCTGTGATTGCATACAAGTACCTCAAACAGCAAACATCTGGGTGGCTTGGAAGCAACTGAAGCATGTTTTTACTCTAAGACATATTCTTACTGTAAAGTTACAGATTCAAGCTTTACCAAGTCAAAGTTTTGGTCCTGAGCAGCCTCAGACCCAGTTTATAATAAATATGATGATTTTGCAGTATCAGTGGTGACACAGTCCTAATAATATTCATACTTAAAGTCTAACAAGCTTTTTTATAATTACCCTTCAGTTTAACAGACATACGCGTTAAGACTATATATCCTTGGAACTTTTCCAAGTAACTGCGCTGTCATAGCCTATGTCCAACTTAAATGTTTGACAGTTTATACAATTGCATTACTATTTTCCATCTCTTACTTCCAGATTTAGGACAATTTATCTCTGATTCTCTTTTGTTTTTAGGTTTCAAAGTGCAATTTCCTGCAGAAACAAATATACTCATAATTCAGGTTGTCCACCCACCCACCCACCCACCCAGTTACCTGTCTCAGCTAGCCCAATTGCTGGAAGGAACATATAAAGCAAGTTCATAGCTTGATGCTGGAGTGATATAATCTTTTCTTAATCTACTTAGTGTTTAAAATACTAGAGCGTTGCTCTCATGTAGGTTGTATGCTCGAATGTGGCACAAAGCAGTAATTGTACTCTTCTGGGAGACTAAAAGCGTTGTAGTGTCTGAGACCTGGAAAATTTAAAGAGTAGTTTACATTGCTAGGACCAAAGTGTTGCAACTGTATCTCAAACATTTGCAATTTGAGGCTGTAAAATCCCTAGGGCGTATTATGTGCTGCAACAATAGCATTAAATATGTTGTATCATGCTAACAAAACAAATTGTGCCTCCTTTTCCTGTCTCATTTTTCTCCTTAGAAAGAAATCCAGTACATGAATATGTAACATTCAAAATTATTCATTTGAAGAAATGAAATAAATTAGCACGTGTGTTTATAACACAGATTGCAGCCTTTCTTTCCCCCAACCATTGTAACAGCACTTCAAATTTAAAGTTTGGCTTCTTCCTTGACTATAACCTCTTTAAGTTTGCAGATTGCTTATCGAGAACAAAAAGCAGCCAACGCTTCTGATGGAGGGCTTTCTCGGTGGATCCTTGAAAGCTGGCAAGGAAGGTGAAGCCCTGGCATGCCCATGTTGCTTGCCATCGTTTCGCTCCCTGGCTCTGCTTTTGGCTGCTCCATCTAGATCTTTCCTAGCATCTACATCTGATCTACCAGGGTCAGGCACCAAGCAGTGTGGATGCAAGCCAGGCTACTGATCCCCATCCCTCTTTGATTCAGTGGTCGAGACGTTCCTCCGTGGGAGCCCTTGGCTCCTCTATGGGAGGATTTCTCAGCAAGCCAAGAAGTGCCAGGGCTTAGAACGGGTTCCTCATTTTTGATAGATTTTTATAATGGCTGCAGGACTGGCCTCCCTCATGCCATCGGTCTTCTCAAAGAGAGGGAAGAGATGTGCAGTAAGGGTGTGCAGTGTGTGTGTGGGTGTGAGTGCACGTGCACATCTCCCCCTCTCTTTTGTTTAGACCTCCGGGCATCGCTCCTTCGTAACCTTTGTTCTGCTTAGGATCCCTTCTGTTCTTATTTTGGCAACACACTCACATATTTGCTCGTGTTCGTAAACAATCACCAATTCTGTCTTTTCAGGTAAAATATCAAGAGAGCATGGCTCACCTGGGGGAACGTAAATGGACTCACGTGTTTCCTTTTCTGGTGGTAGGTATTTATGCACGTATAGATCTCTCCAGCATGCAAAGATAACTGGGTTCTCCTTGGGTCTTTGGAAACATCTCTGAATTGTCATGGCACAGCTGCAGACAACTTAGGGACTGAACCCAATGTAGTGATTGGTTTCCATTCAACGAAAGACCTGGGCATGTGCTGCTTAGACTGAGGCTTCTGGGGAGGAGGGGGAAGGAGAAGGACCCAGGATGGAGCAGATGCAGGAGGGGCTGGAAGAGCCAATTAGCCTGGGTGTCAGATGAAGCACAGCCCTATCATGGTAGAGGCCTGAGGCGGCTTATTTTCTCAGGTTGTTATAATTGTCCCTTGCAGTCACATTTATGAAGGCTCATTAGAGCTGGGAGGTGGGGTGGTGCAAGCAGGCATTTGCTGCACAGGAGAGCGTGACAACAAATAGGTCAGGAATCACAGCCTGCAATACTTGGAGGAGTAACTGTGCGTGAGCATCAGTGCTCTGAGAAACTCTTAGCAGGGCTGGGTTTCTGAAAACTCTACCTGCCTCCATCCCGCGTAGTGGCACCACTTCTGTTTCCGAGCTTTAGGGCTGTTTCCTCCTGTAGTGCCGGCCATGCCACCTTCTGGGCCACAGCAGCTGGGCAAGGGCAGGGAGCGAGGCGTGGGGGGGCGAAGGCGGTGGAAGTGACAGTGCTCTGGGATGCTCTCTGGTGACAGGTCTCCCTGGTGTACTCCGCCAGCGCCGAATACTCCAACTGCGGGGAGAACGAATACTACAACCAGACCACCGGCATGTGCCACGACTGCCCCAAGTGCGAGCCGGGCGAAGAGCCATACATGGTAATTTCAGCTTCCTCTGCCAGTCATGGGACACATATTGAGCACCAAACACAAAAAAAAAAAACCCCGAAACCACCAAATGTTTTGTTATGTGGCGGTTATATACAGCTAGGAGAGACACTGGGGAAGGGCAGAGATGCTTAAGCTCACTCCTGCGAGTGTGTCAACAGAGCGAGGCCCCACGTGTGTGCTCGCTGGTCCACCAGGAGCAGCCTGTTAGAAGGGATATTGCAGAAGTTGTAAGGTAAAAGTTCCACGCACGGTCTCTGCCAGTCCATTCTCATCTCAACAGTTATTTAAAATCTGACGCTGCCGTTTCGGCGTGGTGTGATAAATCGCCTCAGTCTGGCGTGCTCGCTGGCCCCCCACACCGAGAATTTAATTTTGCTCTCCCGCTAAGATATTTTGGCACTGGAGGAACTTGGATGCTTCTGCAACATTTTAAATCATGGTTCCTAAGTAACCATTTGATTTACGGCAGATAATTGTTGCTTATTAAAAAATAAATTACTGAAATCCTGTTTGGTTTTAATGGGATAAACATCCTATTGCAAGAATTTCACACAGTTGGTAGTCCTGAGCAAGTACATCTGAATAATAACCAGTTGGTTTTAGTTTTATTTAATCTAAACGTAGTGTTCAGCTGGGACATGTGAGTTCAGGGGTTATGAAATCTCATACAAACATTGCCTTTTGTGATGTTCCCTCTGGCCTCTTCAGGCATGAAAGCAAAATCACTGATATTCCTGCTGCAGCCATGTTTCCCCTGCAATTTTCTTCTCTATTTTTCAATTTTCAGTTCACTTCTGTGTCTAAGCAGCAGCCAAAATTCACTTCCATGACTTGCTGGAAGACAACATAACTAGCTATAGGGGGCCACTTTCAAGGAGTGTGGTGCTCTGGTTCCCCTTTTCCCTCTCCAGGAGACAGCGTGTTGGGTCCCTATATCCCTCCATGGCCTTTTTAGGACAGACACTGAGGAACCAAACAACAAGTTGTTTTCCCTTGGTAGGACATTGTGCTGCAAAGCCAGCGGTCCAGACTATGAATATTCCCTTTCTCTAGAAGCCACTGCGCAGCTTTTCAGTGACTTTGTGTTGTTGCAGACATGCGGATACGGCACCAAAGATGAGGACTACGGCTGCATCCCCTGCCCTTCGGAGAAGTTTTCCAGAGGAGGTTACCAGATATGCAGGCGGCACAAAGACTGTGAGGGTTTCTTTCGAGCCACAGTCCTGACACCTGGCGATCAGGAGAATGATGCAGAATGCGGTCCTTGTCTCCCAGGGTAAGGATTTACCTGTGGACCTTTGCTATACCCAGGGCACTGCAAAATACTTCTTAAATGTCAGAATCTCTGACAGCCTCTCTTCATGTCCTAGCTGACTGTAGCTACAATACAGGTGAATTATGCTTTTCAGTCTTTGCTAAAACAATACATTTAAATGTTTCAAAAGCATCGGTGAATTTAGCATATCAGAAGGTGTCGTTAATCTTCCTGAAATCTCACTGAAGAAACAACTGCTGGGAATAGCTAGAAAAACTTCAACTTTTCCTCTTACTAAAGTGGAAAGGGAACAGCTCATGTACCCAAGCACAGGAGAGCAGTGCCATTTTAAATGCTCTAAGAAATCCAGGTCAGCCTCCAGCTTTGGCTTCAGAGCGCCACCTTCTAAGTCCTGCTTTCCATGAAAGAGGTCCATGAAGATGCCTTGGATAACCTGTAGGATCCATGCTGGCACTACAACGTGTTTAGGAACATGAAATATCTGCTGTTCAGATGCTGGCAAATTTGTCAGTAGTTGACAGAATTAGCTAACATAGCTGTTAGGTGAGATTTACCAAGGCATTTTAGTCTCTGAGGGTCCTTTCTAGCCAACAGAAAGGGGTCTGAAGAGCTGCTAATGTGGTGTGCGTGCTGTTGTTCAGAGTCAAAACAAGTTCCAGGGCTGGCTGAAGGCATTTAAAATAGATGCTGTTTAAGTCCATCTTTTTAATGGTCTCTTATGCTCAGTATAATTCTAATAGCAATGGTGAGAAAGCAGCTGCGACGTTGAATCTGTTAGCAATATATTCTTGACCGTGTTACCTTTAAAGTCTGAAACCCAAGCACACATTTGCTTTCTTAACATATTTTTTTTGGGGGGGGGGGGGAGGTACAGTAAGTAAATACTCTAAAACACAACCTCACCTTACATACCTTTTCAGTTTCTGCCAGTGTGCCTCTTTGGTTTAGAACTGTAATTCCTGCTGACATTTGGCTTTTGTGCCGTTTGCGGACACTGTACAACCCACACCACTTATAGCACAGGAAACACTGTTAAAGAGGCCCTGCAAGGTTCCAGGTTTATTGTATCAGGGAGTCTGTGTGAAATTTTCACAGTTTACAAATAAAAAGAAGGACTTGTCTAGCTGCCAGCCAAGCAAACTGATGATGTGATTTGAAAAGAGCTCCCTCTTGACTCCCCTCATACATCATAAAGAGCAAGAAAGTCAAATAGTGGCCACAGTTGCTGTTATGCAATTTTTGTCAGGACTAATGAGGTCACCCAGGTGGGAGCGGGGTGCTAGCTGAAAATAATCAGCTTGCACAGCTGGTGCTTGGGGAGTAATCTCAAAACACCATGTTTGCACAGGTGTAACCTGTAGCAGAAACTGGTCTGCCAGAGCCTGGCTGTGTGCCGCTCTGTTTGTGACTCTCAGGCCCTGGGATAGTTTGGTGAGGCCAGCAGCTAAGGAGAAACACCTTCTTACTCCAAGCTTAAAGAGACAGAATTTGTGTCAAGGTAAATTAAATATGGGCTAAGAGAAGCTCTGAAGCTGCCTTGACTCCTCACGCATCTTAGAGACCCTGGAGTTCGATCCTGAGCGATGGTGGGGGTAGTGCAGAGCTCCTGGGCCAGAGCAGAGACTGACCAGCCACCCTTCCTCATTGTCCCTGGTGGCAGAGGGACAGCCAGGCGCCTGGGTGAGTGGCAGCTGGCAGAGTGCTCGCTTCCCCAGGCAGGAACCCTCAAAGAGCCCCTGGGTCAATGGGAGGGGAAAATTAAGGTTTCCATTTTCAGAAGACTGTGCTTCTGAGACGTGTCATGGACCTTCCCAAGGTAAGAGCCCACATGCTCCAATCTGTATTTAGGGGCATCTCATCCCTTTGCTAATTTTCACCAGCTCAGTAAAGCAGTCTGAGGAAAAGGTGAGCGTGTGGCACATTCGGACCAGAAGGTTTTAGACAACATCACTGAATTGGCAGCCTTTCCTCAGGGGCTACAAGTGCCTTTCTCTCATCACTTACCTTCAAATAGGTGCTAGATAATGATATATTTTTCCTACTATTTTTTTCACTGTTATTAATTATTAGTTTTAGGAGAACTTTGGTACAAGAGCATGGGTCATCCACTGCTTCTCTGTGTCAATGTTCCCCTCCATATAAAATAGGAATAACACTACTTGTCAAGCTCACAAAAAGGTTGCAAAACTGTGACTGGGGGCGAATTCAAAGGCTTAGCTCTGAAGCTGTGGTCCTCAAAACTAACATTCAGCAGCCAGTGAACTCTGGAATTACCCAGACCAAACCTCCTGGGACGCTGCAGGCTTCATCTTCTGCTCCTATGCAGAAGCTCTTCCATCATGGTAAACAGGACAGGTCAAGAATGCGGAAATTAGGTGTGACTTAGACTATTTCCCTCCCTGGGATGATCTACTAGGTGTTCCTGTAGTGTGACTGAGATCACAACCAACTAGGAGCAGCCACAGCAAGGGTCTCTCTAGCCTGGTTGTCTCTCTTCAGTAGTGGCCATAAGTGGAAACCCATGGAGGAGAAAGAACAGGGCAAGCATATGTTATAAATCTCCCACATGCCATCCCAGCACCTATTTTCAACTCAGAGGATTGCCTGGTCTCCCCACAAGTTGTAATTGCAAAGGGAACATTTCCTTTTAAAATGTAGTCAGAGATGCCTCCACTGCTGATGCTTCCCCTTTTTACGTGTTTGTCCATGATTACAGCAAATCCAAGATCATTTCTCTGAGGTATTTTAAGAGAAGGAGTGAGCTTTTTCCTTTGTTTTCTGAATGAAAACATTTAGCCAGTGAATTTCTAATGAGATAAAGTCCCTCCCTGCAGTTCTGGATAAGGCAGCAGATGCCTCCACCTATGTGCTCATCACCTCTCTGTTCCCTCTCTGCAAAATGTCCCCTGCTGAGAACAGCCCCCTGTGTCCTGTCCCCCCCCAGCCCCAGGTGCCCTGGTCCCTGCAGGAGGTTAGACCCAAATCTGGGGCCAAGTCCCTGAGTGTGACATGACACCACCAAGGTCAGCCCAAGATAAACCACCATGTTGTTAAGCAGGAAAACACTTAAGTCCACTTTTCAGTGTAGTCTTTACTCTTGCATTTTTCCTGTAACACTTCAAAATCTGAGCCTAGCGGGTGCTAAGGAAGGAGAAGGAAAGAGCATCATACTGTAAGAATAACACCATCAAAATTCACTGTTTCATTAGTGGGCCACTTCCTCTCAATATAAAGGGATCAGATATTTCCAACTTTGCCTTTTGTATTTGGTGCATTGCAAAGTAGCCAGAAACACGAACCTGTTGCTGGTACTTCATAGGGGTGAATCATTAATGTTTGCAGCTGCAGAGCTTCCTACTCACGTGGGTGAACAGTTGCTTGCTGTGAGCATACCCTTCATTTTTCTTTACACGTCCTCCACCATTCTGCATTGTGGCGAAAACCAAGAAATATTCCACCAGCTTGATTTAATTAACTGTCAGAAGGACTGTTTGTCTTTCCTAAACCACTGTGGCTATTAGACTGTAGATCCTAACTGTCCTGTATTTTTCTTTATAGATTTATATGTATCTTTGGCCTGCCACTCTTCTTTTTGTGGTTTGGCAGTCATTTCCTGCTTATTTATTAACTGCTTCACAAGCTAACATTACGCAGGCCCCCATAAGAGTGGGAAGATGAAGTTTTGCTCCTGAAAGGAGGGTAGAGTGGAAGATAGGGCACAAGAGACATTCAAAGGGAAGAGTGAGGGCAAGTCTTTTAAAACCAGTAAGAAATAAAGGAGGAACTCCGTTCAGTGGACCTGCTCTTCTGGGGTACCTCCAGCCCCTGTCCCCATCCTGGCATCTCTGTGTACTCCATTTCCTAGACCCTTATTTGTAGTCTGGGACATTCATTAATGACCAACTGATTTTGATGGACAGTTTCAGCAGTAATTTCCTTACAATGCACACATTTTCCAGCAAAAACATAGTGCACATGAACAGACAGGTACGTGAGAGCAGAAAAAACAGATTCCCCGTTGTGTAAAGTGTGTATTAGGTTGAGTGCCTGTCTACATAGAATGGGTTATGAATTTATTTATTTCATTAAAAACTGTAGTGATTTTCAAGTGATTTGTAAGGATATGTCCGTAACATCAACTGTGTATGATTTTGATGTAATTTACTAATTAGCTTGCTTGTGGATCCAATTCTTGCATAACCGATTACCTTATTTCAGCACTAACTTTATTAGCAGCCCAGAATTTTAAATGATTAAAACCTTTCCTTCATTCTGTAATTCCACTATCAAGGACTAACTTATAAGCCCTACAGCAAGGAAGTAAAAAAAACAACCTCTGTAAAACTTAAGCTGACTTTTCCTGTCATGTGGTGATTTCCTGTATTTTTTATTCTGATTTGGCTCAGATTTGGTTCTTACATTAAGGAAGGTGAAGGAAATTAACCAACCATATCCAACTGGAGGTCTTACGTGAAAGATTACTGCTTCAAAAAATTGCATTCCCTTATTTTGAAAAATCTTATTTCAGGACATGCTGTAAACTGCGGCTTGAACTCAGTGGGGAGAATAATGTTGTTTTGGGCAATGATACTACTTCTTGTCATGTAGACTTGATGGTTGATTAATTGCCTTTTAGGAGGAAAGGAAGAAGAGAAACACTGTCCCTATTCAGACAGTTTAAAAAAAAAAAAGAATAATCTTTGCATCAAATTGCTTATAAAAGTTTTTTTTTGAGTGATTTTATCTCAGTGTAATTGGTTGCTGCTGAACCGTGCTCAGTTGTAGCATATTAATTAACACTGTTTTGCCTCATCTTGCCCTTCATTACAGTTACTACATGCTGGAAAACAGACCTCGAAACATCTATGGGATGGTTTGCTATTCATGCTTGTTGGCGCCTCCTAACACCAAGGAATGTAAGTGTTCTGTGATTTCTATGCATTTCATCTGGTTTTGACTAGGAATCATCTGGAAGCTCAATGTGAAGTCCTTCAGGGATGATTATTATGTTCAAACAATAAGTCCATCTCCAGTAAAGGAATTTCTGCTTCCAACTAGCCTTGCCAACAAAGGGAGTAAATGCTGAACGTTTCGGGAGAGATCACAACCTTTGATTTGAGGACCTGCTCAAAATAACCTGTTCAGTTATGCTCCGGTTTCCATCTGTTAAGACACCCCATACAGGACTTATTATGGCTTCTTTATCAGTAGGTACAGGAAGTCACAAAACTCTGTATTTTTTAATTCAGTTTCAGCTCAGCTATAAAGAAAACCTGGGAGACTTTGTAGATCGTAGTAAAGGTGCATCACACCTTTTCATATCCTTTCTCCTTTATGCTCCATATGCTTTCTCCTTTAAAGGGGGTAAAGAACATGAGAAAAAGAAAAGGAAAATGAGGTTCCCTCTGAATGAACAAATTACTTCGACACGCCCTCAAGAGAATCTGGAGCAGATAAGGAGAAAAAGCTTTTTTTTAAAAAAAAAAAAAAGAAAAAGAAAAAAAAAAAGAAAAAGAAAAAAAAAAAGAAAAAGAAAAAAAAAAAGAAAAAGAAAAAAAAAAAGAAAAAGAAAAAAAAAAAGAAAAAGAAAAAAAAAAAGAAAAAGAAAAAAAAAAAGAAAAAGAAAAAAAAAAAGAAAAAGAAAAAAAAAAAGAAAAAGAAAAAAAAAAAGAAAAAGAAAAAAAAAAAGAAAAAGAAAAAAAAAAAGAAAAAGAAAAAAAAAAAGAAAAAGAAAAAAAAACAGAAAAAAATGGGCACTTCCCCAGAGAAATCCAATGCATCTGAAACTAAAATCCTGTCTGTGTTCTGTTCTTCTAAAAGTCTTTATCATGAAAAAGCATTGCACTATTTTACCTCCTTGATATTGAAGCAGAGGTTGACACAGAAGTCCCTGAGCACTTCTTTGTGTACATAAATAGCAATTACTGAGTTCAGATGCTGCAGAACTGTGTATCATTGGTGCTCTGCGAGCCACTTCAAAGGAGGATAGGTCATTAACAGCTACCACCTTTAGTAAAGTGCAGGAGCTCAGATGAGCCAGGGGATAATTACCACCTCACACAGCTCCAGGTGAGCGGTAACAGCTCGGCTGGAGGCATCTCCCTCAACCTGTCTGCCTGCAAAGTGGCTGACCCATTCTACAGCTGCTCACCCCGCTTGGCTGCAGAAACCCACCAGGTCCTGAGAGGTGCCTTTCTGCTTGAGACCGTGGGAGTGGGCGAGGGCAGGGCGAGCGTCATTTTGGTGAGATAAGGTCTGTGTTAGGAGGTGAGGTCAGGGCGCTAGGGAGGACCCGAATGTGAGATGTGGGAAGAAGGGGGAGAGGTAAGTGAAAACATGAGGTTAGGAGTCTCGGTGGGAGATGAGGTTTATCTGGTAAAAGGATGTGGACACATCTTCTCCTGCGTGAATGTGAGGGCTGGCTGCCCCAATGATGGGAATGCGACCATACTGGCTGCGAGCCGATAGCCAGAAATTAATCACTTCCTCAGCTCTGATGGTCTGTCTCAAACACGTGCTCAAATGGGTTTTTAGTAGTATCAAACACATTGCAGCTTACTGATTTGGCGAGGAATGACCAGAAGGTCTTTTGGCTATTACTCAATTCGGAAAACAAATCTTTGTCTTTTTTGAATATCTGGCAGATACTATATATAATGTGCTCAGTTCTGTGAGGAAAGTATGAATCGCACAATCTGATTAAACACATGCTATTTTTAACTTGACACACACAAGAATAAATAGATATTATCTTTGGGAGAAATTTAGGCAGGTGCATAAACCAACAAATTGGGTACTAAGGTAACAAGAAAACATTAGTCCTAGAAAGAGTAAACATTACCATTTTAATCAAGTCTATGAAATCAACCATTTGATTACAAGTGTTCAAAAAGTGGGAAAGCTTCTTAAAGTCCAAATCCCTCAAATCACAGAACTCAGGTAATTTGATTTATGAGGTCTAAACCTCTGGACCCCATTCAGGATGGCAGCTCCCTAATTCATAGGCAATAATTTGTACTCCAGATGGAAAACCAGCCTTGCTGCAGGAACCTCTTGAAAGGCTCACTGTTGCTGTGGCAGGCAGCATAAAATTTATCATTAGCAAATGATCAAAAATAAATCTTCTTTATCTCTCTTATGTTTCACAGTCATCAGATTATACCAGTCAGAGCAAAGAAAAGGTGTCATGTCAGTGTTGCCCAACTGCATCATTTTTGAGGTTTGCAGATTCCAAACTCTGAGCATGTACCTTCGATGTGAGCATGGCTTTTCTGTCATATAAATGATAATATCAGTTCTTTGGTAGAAATGGTTCCTCTGTGCGGAGCAACTGTGTGTAATGGCATTCCTTCCTCACTGTTCTGGCTGTCATGGTGGAGAACCCAGAAGGCCTTAGAGAACTCCAAATGGTCCCAGGCATCTTCTTTTCCTTTCTTGAGACTTCAAAATTTAGTTGAACACCCTTCAGGAGCTTAAACTTTACCAGGGTGCCTCCCCTAGAGCTGCCTTCAAACAGTCCTGCATATGGCACCCCACTGGAGAAAGGTGACCTAACAGGTTACAGGGAAACAAAGGTGGCAAATTACTTAAAAATAGGAAACCAGGCATGACAAGCTCTGACTTTACACTTCTAGACAGAAAAATGAGGGCAGATAAATCCCGTTTCAGGCCTTCATTAGGTTTGAGACAGGTTTGGAGGACAGTGGTGTTCTCAGCTGGAAAAATACCTCGGTGGGGAAGTGTCTGGGCTGTGTGTTAGAGAGGGCCAGAAGGAGAGCAAAGCAGGGAATGTGTGCTGCTGCATGGAAACCTGCTCAGGGAATTTGCCTGACGATACATTATGTCTGGTGGAAAAGTATTTGGGTTTGATCAAAGGGTAAACAAATAGCTTTCAACTCCAAGAGCCTGCTGTGCAACTTTCATCTCCTACACAGTCAATAAACCTTGAAATGGCTGAGGAAACAAGATGAACACCCCGTGTCCCAGCATCTGGAAATACTAGCATAAAAAGGACTGGAAGTGAGAAAGAAATTCCCTGATGGGCTTGTGTCACCTTTTTCTTTTCCCCATCTCAAGGGACTTTAGACAAAAAGTAGCACAAAATAACATGGAAAAGAGGAGGAGGAGGAGAGGGAGACATTTCACAGAAGTCAGAGATTTAACTGAGGCAAATGCACCACCGGGTTGTGGTGTTGAAACTCTCTCTCTGGACTGAAGGATGGGAGCAGTCTCTGAAGAACACCAGGCTTCGGCAGCAGCTTGTGGGCTGGGAAGGGGCTGTGCATATATGAGCATAAGGGTGTATATTGTGTAGTAGGACAGATTTTTCTTGCTGGGGAAAGGGTAAACCTCACCCTAAAGACTGCAATTTTTCATACCTTGTGCACTGTGAAACACGTTGTGTGGGACTTCTGGGCTCTCAGCATGCAGCTCCCTCAAGTCTACTGTGTAGGAGCCTCAGGACTGGTCTGCTAAGCACAGAGGAGCACAATTGCCAGCACATCAAAGATGTGAGACCTTGAGCTGCGCATGGAGCAGATCATGAGTCACCAGTGACCCTTGGTGATGGTAAATTGGGGTATGATACCTCTGTGATAAATAGCAACACTGCAAAAAGTAGGGGAGGCGGGTTTCCTATGCAAATCAAAGAATGAAGGTAATGAGCACCAAACCACTTTAAGATGTGGCTTCCCACAGTTAATAGTGCTGGATTTTCTGTTGACACCTCTGAAATTGGAGTTACTTGAGGCTTCTGACTGCATTGAGTGTTTTCATTGTGGTTTTTTTTTTTTTTCTTTTATCCAATGTAAAAGTATATGCAAAAGACAGAATACTTAAACCTACATGGAGCTTCTCTAGCAGAGAGGTACAGTTACCGCTGCAAGAGATTTTGTCTTTTAGCAGCTGCAATTCTCTTATCAGTTTATGAATATTAACTCTACTCTTCTGTTCAAACTTTGATATTTGCCATTCCAGTTCAAAAATGGTGGAGGAAAACAATATCAAACCCCACGACAAAAACTTGAAGAACGTTTACTTTGAAGTATTTACACAATTATGTCAAATATGCAGATCCTTTTCCACTCACATATTATTGATCTAGATAACTTTGGCAATTGATTGAGTGTTTTCTTTTTAATCTACTGTATATATTCATAAGTTTGCATGGGCACAAAATCTGTTATTTCCTTACACCTTTTTTGCTAGTTGTATAGATGAAAACAGATGCAGTAGTCAACCTGTGTAAATCTAACACCTACCAATGATGGCTTAGAAAAAATTAAAAGGAAAAGAAAAAAACCGAAAAACAACAAAGGGAAACATGTAGTCAAGTTGGATTTCAATTACCAGAGAGCAAAAAGAAAAGATCATTTTTATTATTGTATCGCTAGAACTTCAAAAACAAAAGATGAGATGGAACAATTGACTAATGGGCTGGTGGCTTCGTGTAAGCTGTAATAGGGGGGAGTCATGTCCATACCCGTGTACTGAAGACTGAGAACTCAGCCTCCCTAATTGAAATGCTTAACACAAACAAGCCTAGTGCCAAGAACACTTGTATTAGTGAAAAATAATTCTTTCAGAGATTTTTATTTTAACTCTCCATTCTTTTTAATATCACTAATTTTCTTTCCTTGCCAGTTTTGTCCTTTTGTAATATGATCAACGTCAGGACTTTTTTTTTCCTTCTGTTTCAAATTACACTTACAAATGAATAGGCTTGTTAGCTGGAGCTAACAAACTTTTCTTTTTTTTTTTTTCCTTTTTTTGACTTGTTTGATCTCTGAACACCCCATTCCTCTTCACATGTGGAATGGGAGAAATGTTGAAGGCAGTGCTTTATTGTTTGCTGGTGGTATGGCCTAATTCTCATCCCCTTAGGGTCTGTCTATATTAGGAAACGAACCTAATCTTA